GAACTAGTTCACATAAAGTGCAGAAATATTAACAGCCATAGTTCCCTGATTAGCTGCTCAGTGGTGTCTCATTCTTCGTGACCCCATGGACTGAAGCCCACCAGGCTCCTCTGTCCATGGAATTCTCCAGGCAAGAATGCTGGGTGGGAAGCCATTCCCTTCTCCAAGGGATCTTCCCAACCCAGGGATTGAAGCTGGGTCTCTTGCACTGCAGGCAGATTCTTTATGGTCTGAACTATGAGGGAAGCTCCACAGTTTCCTTACCCACCCCTATTCCAGTCTCTTTAGTATTGTCATATGCATTACATCTGCGTATACAGATACTCCACAAGACAATGTTGTAAATGTATACAAAGATGGCTTGTTAAATGTACACAGATATTTGCCATTTCTGATCTTCATGCATTCATTCCTGTAGAATTTGATTTTCCACTGATACAATTTTCCTTCAGTGTAAAACTTTCTTCAGCATTTGTTACAGTTTTAGTCCACTGGTGAGTTATTATCTGTTTTCCTGTATCTTAGTTGTGTCTTCATTTTTTTGAAGAATATACTTGCTAGATATCTAATTCTGGGTTGGCACTTTTTTTGTCTTTTAGCATGCTACGAATCTTCTTTCACTTCCCTGCAGTCTCAGGGGTGTTTGGTGGGAAGTTCATGGTCATTTGAATTATTTCCCTTTAATTAATGTGTTGTTTTTCTGTTTCCTTCAGTATTTTATGTTTGTGTTTGGTTTCCAGCAGCTTACATGTAATTTTCTTTATCTAGCTTCGAATAATGAAAGCCTGTTTGTTATAAACTTTTTGAATCTATAAATTTATGTATTTCTCCAAATTTGGGATGTTCACAGACATCATTTCTTCAAATATTTGTTCCACCCCATTCTCCTCCCTCCTTTTGGGCTACCAATAATCCATATGTTAGAGTTTTTGATATTTTCTCACAAGACTCTGAGGACTTCTTTTTCTCAAAACTTTTTTCTCTCTCTTTTAAATATTGGATAATTTCTGTTAATTTATAGTTTACTGACTCTTTCTCTAACATCCCCACTCCACCAGTCAAATTTTTATTGACAGTGTTATATTTTTTCAGATAAAAAATTTCTATTTATTTCTCTGCTAAGATTTTGTCTTTTTATCCCTCTTTAACATATTTTCCTTTACTTCATTGAGTATAGTTATAGTAGTTGCTATGAAGTCCTTGTTTAATAATTTCAGCCTCTGGGTCATCTCTGGACTGGCATCAGTTAATTATCTTTGTCCTTGACATTGGATCACATTTTCCTGGATCTTTTTATGCCAAGTATTTTCTTGTTATATCCTGGATACTGTGAATGTTTCTGTAAACTCTGGGTTCTCTTGTAGCTCTCTGAAGAAGGTTTACTTTTTTTATTTTCATTTACTTTTTTCACTTCATTTAATTTTCATTTAGAAAACATTTTAGATTAAATAATAGTGAAAATACAATATATCAAAATGTGTCAGATACAGCTAAAACACTGATTAGAAGGAAAAGTACAGCTTAAATGCTTAAACCAAAAAAAGGAAATTCACCAGGTTAGACTCACTGTAAGCTCTCCCTCATTCTCTGCGATCGGAGGTTCAGTCAGTTAGTTCAATTAGTTCAGTTGCTCAGTCATGTCTGACTCTTTGCGACCCCATGAATTGCAGCATGCCAGTCCCTTGGACTGCAAGGAGATCCAACCAGTCCATCCTAAAGGAGATCAGTCCTGGGTGTTCATTGGAAGGACTGATGCTGCAGCTGAAACTCCAGTCCTTTGGCCACCTCATGTGAAGAGTTGACTCGTTGGAAAAGACCCTGATGCTGGGAGGGATTGGGGGCAGGAGGAGAAGGGGACGACAGAGGATGAGATGGCTGGATGGCATCACCGACTTGATGGGCATGAGTTTGAGTAAGCTCCGGGAGTTGGTGATGGACAGGGAGGCCTGGCGTACTGTGATTCATGGGGTCGCAGAGAGTCACGACTGAGCGACTGAACTGACTGACTGACTGAGGCCTCCCTGTCCATCACCACCTCTTGGAGTTCACTCAAACTTATGTCTATCAAGTCAGTGATGCCATCCAGTCATCTCATCCTCTGTCGTCCCCTTCTCCTCCTGCCCCCAATTCCTCCCAACATCAGGGTCTTTTCCAATGAGTCAGCTCTTCGAATCAGGTGGCCAAAGTATTGGAGTTTCAGCTTCAGCATCAGTCTTTCCAGTGAACACCCAGGACTGATCTCCTTTAGGATGGACTGGTTGGATCTTAATAAGCAGGGTGACAATATACAGCCTTGATGTACTCCTTTTCCTATTTGGAACCAGTCTGTTGTTCCATGTCCAGTTCTAGCTGTTGCTTCCTGACCTGCATACAGGTTTCTCAAGATTGGAGGTTAAGTTCAGCTAAATCTCAGCTCAGCTCTTTAAGCCTTTGCTTCTATTTCCTATATGATTTTTAATCAGCACAATATGTTCTAGTAACTGTTATTGAGCTTTGAGTTTGTCCCACATGTGCATGATTCAGAAGTCAGTCTAGACTTGTATGGTGTTTAGACACAGAATTGGGGGATTAACTTCTCTGACTCTCTTTCCTCTGGAATTTCTCTTTCACTCCACAGTGGTGGTTGTTGTCTGGACTCTTTTCTCTAATTCTTCTGGCCACAAGTCCAGCAAGAGAAGATAAAACATGGAGAGGAAAAACAGGCAGAAAGAGCTTTTTGCTGTTCTATTGCCTATTATGTATTTATGTATATATATATTTTGTATGTATGTATGAGTATTCACAAGGGGTATGGACATACTCTAGGTACTGGTTATAAAGAGTTAAATAAGTTAAGGTTTTATAGTCACTGAAATTTCTGTGAGCCTAAGAATACTGGAGTGGGTAGCCCTTCCCTTCTCCAGGGGATCTTCCCCACTGAGAAATCAAACCTGAGTCTCCTGCATTGCAGGCAGATTCTTTACCAGCTGAGCTACCAGAGAAGCCTCTGAATAGTTTAAAAAAATATCTTTTTGGAGCTTGAAGACAGCGTTTCTCTATTTTCTCTATCATTTTTAACCAACATGATATGTGTCAGTTATTATTATTGATATTACTAGGATTAAAGGCAGGAAAACATGTATTATAGAAAGTGTGGGATAATAGAAAAAATTGCTATTATCCCATTTCTTAGCAAAATCATTAAAATATTTGTACATTTCCTTTTGGACTTCTTAATAAATGCTTATCAATGGGCAGACAGATCTCATTCCTACCAGTGATATTTCAAAAGCCAATATGATTTTCAGAATACTTTTATGTTCCTTGCAATACTGAAAATTTTAGTAGATGAGATAGCTGTCTTTGGACATTTCTTTTGGAACTTTGGTGCTGTGTATTGTGAGTTGATGTTGGTGTGAAATTTAGGAACTGAATTGAGATATTTGGCTATGAACTCAACTTAAATCTTATCCTTAATGGGTCACTGTTCCCACCGAGGTGCTGATATATAGGTGACTATTTGTAGGAGGTGGTCAAGGACAAGTAATTCTAATAACCAGCTGGAGCTTTGACTCAGTTCCCCAGGTAATACTCTGCTGGACTAAGACTCCTTGCCCTGTGTGAAGTGTTCATGTGGCTTGGAAGCAAGTCATCTGGTAGTCTGCTTCATTTATTTCTGCTTTAGGGTCTAGAGCAGAGTTCTGGATCTTCTGTTCTAACAGGAGAAACAACCAAACCTGCAAGGACCAGAGAGCAACCTGTCTCAGAGTCTAGAGAATTCAGGCAGGCAGCCCTCCCTGGGCCTTTAGCTCTTTTGGGCTGGGAGCTTACTTTTTATGTCTGACCAACTTTGTGGGAAAGGAGAGAAGACTGGCCCTTGGCCTCTCTGACTACTTCACTGCTCAGGCATTGAACATCCTGGTAGAGGAGTAAGGAAAAGGCAGAGTTTCAATACTTGGGAAGGAAGAGGAGGGCAAAATTACTGCTCATTCTGTCCCATTCAAAGTGTAGGGTAAACAGTCAACCTGGATTGTGAGCAGCAGATGTGACACTGTATGTTAATTTTAATACTTCCTTCTTTTGGGACAGAGACGTTATTTTTCCTTGAGTATCTCCAAATCAGAACTAGGCTCTTTTTTAAAAAAATAAATTGCTAGCAAAAAAAGAGAACTTGTTTTTTTCCCATGAGATTGGATGTTTAAACATCATTTTACATATTTTGTAGTGTTAAGGGGTGGATGGGGGCTATGAAAGCACTGGCTTTGATGACTTGGCCCATTTGCATTGGGATACCACCTTCCTTGAAAACACAATAGAAGTTCCATTTCCCACTGTTTCATTTTTACAAATAAAGAACAACTTTCCTAGGTGGAACTCTAGGGAAGGTACTGAGAAATGTTAAACAATGACCACTTGTTAAACTTCAATAGCAAACCTAGGGCCTGAGAGAAGTTGGAAAGGAATACAGAACAGGAACTAAGAAACAAAAGGGAAGTGCAGTTGAGAGAGTCAAATCAGATTCCCATCAGGTACGAATGTCTTTCTAGTCTGTGCTCTGTTCCAGTTACTACCTTTCAGTCTTTTGTAGGAAGTAATGCAGATGGTGTCAGGATGAGCATATTACCACCTGTGCAAACAATAAACAGCCACAATACTATAAGGGTGGTTACACAGAATTTTTTAAATGAGGAAACTTCCTTAAGGGCTTTAGAAGTCATTTCTTTTTTTTTAATTCATAAAGTGTTTATTGATATAAGCTGTATACCAGGTAGAATCCAATAATGCACACAAACAATTAAAATATAATTTAATAGACACTGCCTAGAGCTCCTTAAAGGGGCTGTGGAAGCCTAGAAAGCAAAGCGGACTTTGCTGAAAGAGACTGGGGAAAAGAAATGACACATATTTTCCTATGACACAGGAAGAACACAACAGGGCTTCTCAGATGTCGAAGGTGGAATATACACAGGCAGAGAGGCAGGAAGCTTGGAGTGTGCTTGGGGAATGGCAGGTAGTTTAGCATGGTGAAGTGTAGTGTGAACAAAGCTTGGAAAGTGGATCAGGTGGGGAGGCAGGACAGAAGACTAGAACATCTGGTTATTGCGGTTGGGGAGGGTCTACTTTGCCTTGCTTGGGAATTTGTTTTTGTGGTTTTTTTTTTTTCCCATGTCTCTTTATTTATTTATTTTTTCATTTATTTTTATTAGTTGGAGGCTAATTACTTTACAATATTGTAGTGGTTTTTGCCATACATTGACATGAATCAGCCATGGATAAAAATATGGAACGCTTCACGAATTTGCATGTCATCCTTGCACAGGGGCCATGCTAATCTTCTCTGTATCGTTCCAATTTTAGTATATGTGCTGCTGAAGCGAGCACTAGAAGTCATTTCTAATGTTCATATTCTATGGCTTGGAAAAGAGGCAACAGATTATTATTTTCATTTTTTAATAAGAAATCTTGTTACTGATAGGATTAAATTGTCCAAGGTGTAGTCAGTGGTTGAACTGGGTGGAGAAAGAAAGCCTACTGATTCCGAAATGAGAGCTCTGTCATATAGCGGGGTCTTGGATTTGAGAACCAGCAGTGACAATTTTAGTGATTAAAAGCAATATGGCTATATCTAGAGGCTAAATAGGATGTTTTCTTCATATAACCCATTCAGTTCAGTTCAGTTGCTCAGTTGTGTCCGACTCTTTGCGACCCCATGGACTGCAGCACGCCAGGGAAACCTGTCCATCACCAACTCCCAGAGCTTGCTCAAACTCATGTCCATCATGTTGGTGATGCCATCCAACCCATCCAACCATGTCATCCTCTGTCGACCCCTTCTCCCACCTTCAGTCTTTCCTAGCATCAGGGTCCTTTCAAATGAGTCAGTTCTTCACATCAGGTGGCCAAAGTGTTGGAGCTTCAGCTTCAGCATCAGTCCCTCCAATGAATATTCAGGATTGAGTTCCTTTAGGATTGACTGGCTGGATCTCCTTGCAGTCCAAGGGACTCTCAAGAGTCTTCTCCAACGCCACAGTTCAAAAGCATCAATTCTTTGGTGCTCAGCCTTCTTTATAGTCCAATTCTCACATCCGTACATGACTATTGGAAAAACCACAGCTTTGACTAGATGGACCTTTGTTGGTAAAGTAACATCTCTGCTTTTTAATATGCTGTCTAGATTGGTCATAGCTTTTCTTCCAAGGAGAAGTGTCTTTTAATTTCATGGCTGCAGTCACCATCTGCAGTGATTTTTGAGCCCCCCAAAATAAAGTCACTCACCATTTCCATTGATTCCCCATCTATTTGCCATGAAGTGATGGGACCAGATACCATGATCTTAGTTTTCTGAATGTTGACTTTTAAGCCAAGTTTTTCACTCTCCCCATTCACTTTCATCAAGAGGCTCTTTAGTTCTTCTTCCCTTTCTGCCATAAGGGTGGTGTCATCTGCATATCTGAGGTTATTGATATTCATTCTCTCGCCAATCTTGATTCCAGCTTGTGCTTCATCCAGCCCAGCATTTCACATGTGTACTCTGCGTACCAGTTAAATAAGCAGGGTGACAATATACAGCCTTGGCATACTCTCATATAGCCCAGACTGCATGATAAATGAAGAAATCCAATTGTAAAAATAACCCTTTTATGTGCTGATATAAAAGAAACAACCAAGAAATGTGGATACTTGGTAAGCAAAGAAATGCACAGTAACATAAGAAAAATGTTTCTTTCCATATTTGTCTTAAGTCCATTGTGAAAAATGAAAAAGTGAAAGTGTTAGTCACGTCAGACTCTTTGGGACCACATGGACTGTACCCAGCCAGGCTTCTCTATCCATGGAATTCTCCAGGCAAGACTACTGGAATGGGTAACCATTTCCTTCTCCAGGGGGTCTTCTAGTCTGAGGATTGAACCCAGGTCTCCTACATTGCAGGTTGATTCCTTACAGTCTGAGCCATCAGGGAAGCCCATTATATTTTGGCATAAAATGAGATAAACCCCCTCATCCCCCCCACCATAGTCAACCAATTGTCTCAGCACAATCTATTAAATGATTCTTTTATCATCAATATAATGCTGCCATTATATTACCCATATTATTCTTAATTATTTTGCTCACTCAGTCTACATATTGATTCTATCAGCAGTGTTTCCATTTTAATTCTTACATCCATATGAGTTTTTAATTATCTTGTTGGACAACACTCCCTCATTTCTCTTTCCAAAATTGTGGCCAACCTACCCTGTTTATTACTTCAAATAAATCCAGAATTAGTTTTCAAATTTCAAAATATCATGTTTCGATTTTGATTATGATGGGATTAAACCAATATTTTGGGAAGATCTGATAAAATGAAAATATTTGGTCTTCTTAACAAGGAATATTAACTGCCTACTTAGTGCAGTGTTTCCTTTATGTCCTTCAGTTAAAATTAAAACATTTCTTTCATGCAGTTTCAGCACATTCTTTATGTTTATTCCTAGACATTTACTCCTTCAAATAAATTATACATGGAATTTTGCCATCCTGATTTTGGTGTAAAGGAAGATTTTTTTTATATAAATTAAAAAAAGTTAAATACCTTGCAGACCTCAATTATAATTATAAATAGTTCTTTAATGCTTAGATTTTCTATGTAAATAGTCACATTGCAAGTAATGATGGTATTCCTGAGGTATTTTTGCTTTATTATTTTATTTTCAAAGAATCTTGGCCTTGGGTTTTCTAAGAAATCAATTAGTTTCTTTAAGTTATTATTTTCTGCTTTTATTTCATTGTTATACTCTTATTTCTTGACACTCTCTTCTCCTTGGCTTCTGTGGAAACTTCTCATTTTCCCAGCTCTGTGATTGCTCTCACTTTTCCCACCTCCCAACTGTGAAAGTACCAAAGAATGTCATCAGCCCTTCTCTATTTGTATTTCTTGTTATCCTGGCTTTCTATAATGATCTCAGAGCTCTCAAGATCTGAAAATTCACCTGTAATCATAGATGGCTGGCTCTGCTGAATAGCATACTTTTTTTTAATTGTGATAACATACCTGACATAAAATTTACCATCTTAAACCATTTAAGTGTAAAGTTCAGTGAATAGCAACAGCTTTATTACACACTTGGTTATGACCCAGACTTTATCAAAGCGATTCAATGTTGCTATTTTATGTATTCCCAGTCATTGGCCAGATCCTACTAGTTTTACCTTACAGAGTGTTTTCACTCTGCTGTTACCAAACCTAGGCCTCAGGCCTTACCTCCACTTACTTGCCCTCTCTACCTTTCGTCTTTCTCCCACCCCAAGCCCTAGATCCTATCAAGCCACTTTTCTGTTAAATGGTTTCGAATAGTTTCCAGTAGACCACAGATAAAGTACAAACACCTGGCACTGAAGGCCTCCTGATCTCACTGCAGCCTAGCTTGTGACGACTCATTTCTTTCCCTTCCTACACCTGCTGTTTCCTGTCAAAGGTAGAGGCAAGTGGGCTGGGTAAGAAATGGAGACACCCCGGGCCAGCTGGAGGATGGAAAGGGAAATTGTTGTCCTGCCACAAGAGTAGGGGGTTGGCCCTTGCATTGCCAGAGCCTTCATTCCCGCCCCCCCCCCCCAGAGAAACTGCAAATCTGAATTTTTATATGAAAATCACTCAACTTAAAATTGTTGGCTATGAATTAATATTTCTGAAAAGCTCAGAGAAGTTGAAAAGCATGCTTACAAGTAGGATCCAGGCTACTGCTGACCTCTGATCTCTCTTCTTGGCAGGATTACTTTAGGTTTACTATGCCTATGTGGAGTGTGGCCCCTCTTGCCTGGAAATGGGACACTACAGTACAGTTGAGAGAAATACTAAAATACACTCAATAGAAGTTTCAGAAAATCTTCACTGTAAAAATTTACTAATTTAAAAGTTTTTCATTGTTACTGTGAAAAGGCCAGTTCAGTTCAGTTAAGTCGCTTAGTCCTGTCTGACTCTGGGACCCCATGAATCGCAGCACGCCAGGCCTCCCTGTCCATCACCAACTCCTGGAGTTTATTCAAACTCATGTCCATCGAGTCGGTGATGCCATTCAGTCATCTCATGCTCTGTTGTCCCCTTCTCCTCCTGCCCCCAATCCCTCCCAGCATCAGGGTCTTTTCCATTGAGTCAGCTCTTCGCATGAGGTGGCCAAAGTATTGGAGTTTCAGCTTCAGCATCAGTCCTTCCAGTGAACACCCAGGACTGATGATCTCTAGGATGGACTGGTTGGATCTCCTTGTAGTCCAAGGGACTCTCAAGAGTCTCCTCCAACACCACAGTTCAAAAGCATCAGTTCTTTGGCACTCAGCTTTCTTCACAGTCCAACTCTCACATCCATACATGACCACTGGAAAAACCATAGCCTTGACTAGACAGACCTTTGTTGGCAAAGTAATGTCTCTGCTTTCTAATATGCTGTCTAGGTTGGACATAACTTTCCTTCCAAGGAGTAAGTGTCTTTTAATTTCATGGCTGCAAGTCACCATCTGCAGTGATTTTGGAGCCCCCCAAAATAAAGTCTGACACTGTTTCCTCTGTTTCCCATGAAGTGATGGGACCAGATGCCGTGATCTTAGTTTTCTGAATGTTAAGCTTTAAGCCAAGTTTTTCACTCTCCTCTTTCACTTTCATCCAGTAGTTGGATTTAAAATGATAATAAATGAATGCTGCCCACTGGTGCCTCAGTTAAGCACAGTGAGCGTTCTACCATGAGAAGCTTTCTTGAACTGGAATTTTATTTATCAATAGAAGTTTTCATGTATGTGTGTATGTATATATATGTGTGTGTGTGTGTGTGTGTATATATATATATATATATATATATATATATATATAAATTTATTGTTATTTCACAGGACAAATCAGTCAAGATGTCCACGATTTCAAAGCACTTTGGACTGAAATACAAAGAAGAATCGTACATCTTTAAAGAGCTGGAGAAGGTTCGCAAGGAGACCAAAAAGGAATTTCTCCGAATCAAGGAGAAGTTGGCCGCCAAGCCAGCTGTGGGTGAAGTCCCCGTCTTTGGCCTCAGGGTCCCCAGCCCGGCCCTGCATGGGGCGAAGGGGAGCGCTTCCCGCGTCGGATCCCCAAAACCATCAGGCTCCCCTCGGGTTAAAGGTCGTGTGCCCCCAACTGCGACCCTCCCGCAGCCGTTGCCCCAAGGTGCCCCCCGGCCCCCAGGCAGGAGGGAGGTGGTCGCTCCCGGGAAGAGCCGGCCGTTCCGACCCCAGGACTTCTACTTGCGGAGCCCCGCGTTCCTCCGGCACGGGCCCCAGAGGCCGCCGGTCATCGCGCCCAGGGCCGGCACGTCCAGACCCGTGGTCCTGTTGCCGCCGCGTGTGCCCGTGGTGAAGGCCCGGGCGCACCGGGGCTCCAGCAGCCCCCCGCCGGCGGACTCCAAGCCCGTGCTCGATCCGGCCCGGGGGCGCGTGCCGAGCCTGGAGCCGGCTCAGCTCGCCGAGGTCGGCCAGGCCAGAGAGAGGCTGCTCGACTCCCTTTTCAGCGACGAGGGAGACGTGGAGGCGGCCGGCCGGCGGGGGAGAGTGAGGATTAACGCCCGCTTCCTGCCCGAGGACTCGGATGGCGAGTCTCGGGAAGCCCCTGGGTCCGCTTCCAAAACCGACCACGAGAGCGACTCCCGGGAGGCCGCCCCGCAGGCCCCGCAGCCAGTGCGTGCGATCCCCAAGTCCATCGAGGAGATCATCGCCTCGCTGCAGTCCGAGGCCCAGCTGGCCTCCGACCAGACCATCAAAGAGCTCATCCAGAGCGTCCTTGGGCAGAACTACGACATTAAAATGGAAGTAGGTGATCCAGAACGGGGGTCATATTTCTTCTGGATAAATTTCATTTCAGGATTCAGACATAAAATCGTGCATATCGTGTGTTCTAAGCTAGGCAAGCTTGAAAAGCTAGACAAAGCGCTTGGGTGTTAATCAGGGTCTTTGAATTTTCCATCCAGGGAGTATATCCTTTTAAAAAAGTGAAAATAATGGAGAGGATATTTCAGAAACTGGTACAAAGAACATTAGTTCTTTGACCCGAGTAATACATCACTGGTAACCTTTCCTTTCAAAGTCTTTGTGATTATTTTGTATTGATTTGATTGATGTTGTATATGAAAGACTCAGTCTTTGGTACAGTTTATTAACAGTGAATCTGTACCTTAAGAAGATCAATATATTACTAATAAGTTGTATTTATAAGTGTTCTGGTCCATTTTCAGTGAAAATCATTCTCTTAAAATATGTTTAAAAAATTTACTTTCTAGGTCTTCTCAGTTATATGGACTATAAGTGATTATTGGTCCCAAGGATAAGCCCATCAGGTGGATACCCATAAGAGCCCTGTTTTACATAAGAGGCTTCCCAGCTTTAGTGAGTTTAAAAGGATTGCCTCCTAGTTCAGCAACTAAGGCGGAACAGAGCTGGGTGTCCACCCCAGCCAGTCATACCCCAGAGAAGAGACTGGAATCATGCCAGGACCTCCTGTTTGTTGATTGTGATGTGTCCCCAGCAGGGAGCAAATTTAGATAGGGCCCTAGTTCGTTATACAGTCTTAGTTCTAGACAAGGACATTCAAAGTAGAAATAATAATAGGGAAGTCTGAGTCCCATACAGAGAGGGAGAGAGGGAAGGAGGAAAGGAAAGAGGTTTTTTTTTTTTTTTTGAGAATGACACTTAGGAGGAAAGAAGATTCTATTACTCTTCTTGGCTGCAGCGCCAAACCTCTTGTTAGTACACAGAGTACGGCTGCCACATTATGTCTTTAAAATAGTTTCAGCCCAGAATATACTCTTGGCTGTGATTTAAGGAATGTGATTCTAGAGCCCATTAGGGAAACAAAAACATGTAAGGACAAGAGTCCCCTGTGTCATCTTTGACCTAATGTTTGTAGGCAGAGTGGGACAAATGTTTTCAGTTAAGATCCACATCTCCCGACGGTTACTGAACAAGACCAGCCTGGCTGTTCAGGCCGTTTCAAAATGAGTACTTCTGGTTTCCTGTGGATCTAACAGAAAAAGGAATCGGGGATGCACACGTTGGAGAGCTCAAACGGAGAGAACAAAGGCCTCATTGCCCACCCCTGTGAGAAGGAACTCTGTAACATTGTCAAAGCGTGTGACATGAAGAGGGGCCTATACTGGAAGCCGGCCTCGAGGTCCTATACAGTTGGGGAAAGTTACACTTGAGCAAGGGCCCATAAAGAAAATGCATTTTGAAGGGTTCAAATATAATAGAATATAAGAAGGGAGAGTATCAATGATGAATCGGCCCTGGGACAGTGAATTCTGTTCTTTCTGGTATTCCATTTCTCTTGTGTATCCTTTTCTGGTGCTTCAGTTATCAGAATTGGTTTATGTAAGAGAGTGGTTTGGAGGATGAGGGTCAGAAGCCAGTGTCACTAGCTAGCCTCACATTGTAAGACTTTGTTGTTCAGTCACTAAGTCACATCTGACTCTTTGTGACCCCATGGATTGCAGCACTCCAGGCTTCCCTGTCTTCACCATCACCCAGAACTTGCTCAAACTCATACCCATTGATTTGGTGATGCCATTCAATCATCTAATTCTCTGTGCCCCCTTCTCCTCCTGCTCTTATTCTTTCCAACCATCAGGGTCTTTTCCAATGAGTTGGCTCTTCGCATCAGGTGGCCAAAGTATTGGAGGTTCAGGTTCAGCATCAGCCCTTCCAATGAATATTCAGAGTTGATTTCCTTTAGGATTGACTGGTTTGATCTCTTTGCAGTTCAAGGGACTTTCAAGACTTGGCCAGTTTCAAATGCCCTAGTCCCATCCCTGCCTTCCATTGTATTGATTTTTTTGTATAGCTATATTCTTGCTTTTGCCTCTGTGCCCCATCTCCCCCTTCCCCCAACAATTCCAGAAGATGGAGCTTTGCATTATTTTGTTCTCAGAAGTTTTATTAGAGTGAGAAGAGAACAGTGGGGGATTTGTTGAAATGGATGTGACTGGGTAGGTGAGGGATAGCAATGAAAATGCAAGTAAAAGTGGTGTCTAAACTATGATTCTAAAAATCCTTAAGATTATAATAAGGCCACTTGTTTTAAACATTTGGAGTTTATATAAACAATATTCTCTCCATAATAAGCAAGGGATATAGTTCTTCACTTTAGACATCTTAATTTGAAGCCAATCCCTTGAGGGGAAGTCAAAGGATAAGACAGTCTTGGCAAGGTGTTCTGTCTCTGTTTAGAGCTCGGGCAGGGCCCTTCCAGACCTCGTATTCAGAGTTCCACAAACAATTACATAGGCCAGAAGGTGCTCAGAATACCTGAAGATTAAACTCAGCTGTCAAATGTAGGTCAAACATCTAAATCAAGGTTTCTTAACCTTGGCACTTAACTTTTTGGTTTGAATAATTCTTCATTGTGGGTGGCTGTCCTATAATTGTAGGATGTTTAGAATTATCCTTGGCCTCTACCCAGTACATGCCAGTAGTATGATCCTCTCATCCTCCTCCCTACCACCAAGTCATAAAATATCTCTGCTGCTGCTAAGTCACTTCAGTTGTGTCCGACTCTGTGTGACCCCATAGACGGCAGCCCACCAGGCTCTCTGGTCCCTGGGATTCTCCAGGCAAGAACACTGGAGTGGGTTGCCATTTCCTTCTCCAATACGCGAAAGTGAAAGTGAAGTCGCTCAGTCGCATGCAACTCTTAGCGACCCCATGGACTGCAGCCTACCAAGCTCCTCCATCCATGGGATTTTCCAGGCAGGAGTACTGGAGTGGGGTGCCATTGCCTTCTCCTTGAAATATCTCTAGATGTTGCCAAATGAGACCGGGGAGAAGGGCATAACCACCCCTCCTGCCCCCCTCATCCTCCCAACCAGCTGAGAACTGCCGGCTTAAACAGTAAACATACACCATGGCAGGAGGGATAGAAATGTTATAAGGTTCTTTGTTTTACTGAGGAATTCAATATTATCACTCACAAAATACATTCTAATTATATGAGACTAAATAAAGTTTAGAGACTTCCTTCCATATGTTAATTGAGGATGAAGGAATCAACCCATCCTTGCTTCTCTCATGTGTGGGTTTTTTTGGCCAAATAGCTCAAAAGAAGAAATGGCTTAAAATGACCCAGGTAAGAGGGAATTCATGTTCCCAGGTCTTTATAAACAAATAACTCACAAGCAAATGTTTTATCATAAAACTTATGCCTGCTATAACTTTAGGGAAGATGAAATAGACATACTTCTCCCTCTTCTTCCTGCTAAGGAAACCTAGGTACAAACCCAAGATGTTATTTATAAATCAAACAGGGAAAGACTCCAAAAGGTAGAAAGAAAGCAGGCTGGCTGGGGACTTTGGGATCCAAGGGATCACATAGTGATAAGTTCTTAGGTTTTCTTTTTGTTTCAGATCTACTGCACCAGAGCTGAAGAGACTGGCAACCTAAGAATGTGCCAATGGGTACAGACAGAAAAAGCCCCAGCAAAAGCCTGCTCTGTTTAGCTAAGGATCAAGAAAGGGGCAGCCTAGCAAGACAAAATTTTTAGACAATAACTGGGCTACTCTAGTCAAGTACCACAGAAAAACCTATGACCCTGTCCTCTCCTCTGCCAGCCAGGACTGAGGAGGGAGCTAAACTTCCATTCTTGAATGACTGTAACAAGTTACCCCAATGTCTTCCCTAATGACAGTGTCAGTGGAGAGCCAAGACTTTCAACACTATCTAACAGTAAAGAGGCTACCCTACCTTCCTCCCTGCTGTGTCACTGGACACCACCTGGGCTTTTCCCAGCTTCCAGGACTTTGATGACAGGAAGCTTAGATCTTCTGCTGTAGTCCCACAAGTGCCTTAGGTTCTATTATTCCCCCAGTTTACTGTCTCTGTTACTCAGATTGATAAAATCGTATTGTTTCATCTTCATGATCACTGATTCTTTCCACTGTCTCCCATACATTCAATATTTGAGGCATTTGTACAGTTTTATTTCAATTACTGTAATTTTCAGTTCTAACATTTTTCTTTGGCTCCTCTTTGTTCTGTTTCTTTACTAAGACTCTCTTTCTCTACTAAGACTCTCTTTTTCTCATTATTCCAAGTATGCTCATTATTACTGCTTATTGGAGTTTTGTTTTGTATTTAGACTTGAAAGGAAAAAAAAGACGATACCAACATTGAGATGACTGAGATGTTAGAATTCTCTGATAAAGATTTTAAAGTGGTCCTATGCATCACGCTAATTGGAAAACAACAATACCAATAGATGGAAATAAGTTATGATATATAATGTAATATCTGGAGCAATGACCAAAAAAGCTATACAAAGAGATTCACCCCAAAACCACTATATATAAGTCAACATAGAATAAAGAAATTTTAAGTAACCCATAGGAAGGCAGGTAAAAAGTAAACAGGAGCAAAACACAGAGAACGAAAAGAAAAACTAACAATTTCAAACTCAAATGTATCAATAACTACACTAAATGTAAGTGGTCTAAATGTAGTGATTAAAAGCAGAGATTGGCAAGTGGATTCCATATAAAACCCAGTATTTTTTTTTTTTTCACAAGAAATGTACTTCTGTTATGATGATATAGGCAGGTTTAAAGTAAAGCATGAAAAAATTATCAGGCACAAATTATTCAAAAGAAAGAAGAGTGGCTATATTAATTTCAGATAAAGTAGACTTCAGTACAAAGAAAATTATGAGAGTCACAGTTGGCATTTTCACATGATAAAAGGGTTAATCCATCAAGTCAAAGGAATCCTAAATGTGTGTTAAACAAATGACAGAGCTGAAAAAATATGTGAGTAAAAACCAAAAGGA